TGTATATATATATATATATATATATATATATATATACATACATACACATACACAATTTTATCTGTAATAAAGTTAAAAATCAATTTACAAGAAATACACAGACATGTACAAATGATATACCACTATGACAAAAACTTAAAGTTACAAGAGAAGTGACAGCAGTGATTGGAAATGCGAGTTTGATTTCAAAGGTTTTTCCAAATCAGCGAGTAAATGACCTTAATCACCATCGCTGAATGTGCAGAAACCCGCAGGCGAGCCCCTGTCACACCGAGACGCTTCACCCTGCAGGCCCCAGACAGCACTGGCTGATCAGTCTCATCTCTCTGTGATTTGCTTATCTGGATTAAAATGAAATTCCTACTTAAAATGATTTACTTCCACCGCACCCAGTCAAACAATACAGCATGACTGGGGAGGGGATGGGGGGGGGGGCGGGCAAATATGGTTATGTTGCTGCATCTTGCCATGCTGGCATGCAAATCTAGTGCGACTATCTCCCTGAACCAGACTAAACTTGGTCACAGGGGGGTGGCTGCTCGTTGCCCATTTGCTATTCCATTTTCAGCTATTGAAAATGTTTGATGATGGGTCCAGTTGAATGCCCAGTTCTGGATCTGTGTAGTCACTTTCTATTTTCTTGTATTTGTTTTAAGTCTTTGTTCGTTCTACAATTACTTGCCCCTTTTGTTTAAACCCATTGTGGTCCCTTTTCTTTTTGAGTGTTTTGAGTTAAGTTTGAAACGAAGTTCCCCATGTCTGAAAGCTGCATTGTGTATCATCAGCCATGCCTGTATGTGACAAAGTATGCCGTAAAGTACCACAAAGCATTACAGATCTGTCATGGGTTTAACAAACTGAGTAACATGCTGCCCATCAGCAACCAGCATATTCAGAGAATTTGCAACACATTAACAGCAAACAATCCACTGAAACCTTTCAATGAATGGACGTCATTGTTATCACAGGATGGTGGTCATATTATGAAAGCACTATAAAGTGAACATGGCTGTGTCATCTGGGCACTTTTCTCAGATGTCTTTCAGTTTGCAGTGTAGCTTAAACACCAGGAAATCTGTGAGTGCCCTGATGTACCTGTGAGTGCCCTGATGTCAGTATCGAATGGCACCGTAGGGTTGCAGGTGGATGGCAACCGGTTTGACAGGCTGTTTGAAAATTAAAGGGCTTCAAAAGAAGCCACACGGGCTGGGTGTTGATGTCACTTAACAGCGGATACAGAGCATCCATAATTATGTGACTTTTGGCTACAGGTATGTCCTGCTTTGGCTGTATTACAAAACACTTCTGCTATTCATTGTCAACATGCATGATCTGTCGAGAAGCCACCATGTCTCTTGTGCAAGTGTGACGCCCCCAATAGATCTACAACATTGTGGCTTCGGGATGCTTCAGTTGCTATTGCACATGAAAATCTTAACAAATATGGGCACCACAGAATAAACTTTTAACAGGGGTTATATTAAACATAAATGAGAGTCATTTAGTGGCATTTATTTATTTTGCATTATTTGTAAGAGCCCAGTGGTGAAATCAGTCTGTTAACTACAGGATTCGAACTAGAATTGGCACAGAATTGGCCCTATACTGACAAGTTGGATTTTCTGCTTGGAAACTTGTGCAGAAATTTAGTGCCTCGATTTACCTGACTTGATGTCATACCTATAATTTACAATCGTGGCGTCTTCCATTGTGACTAGTAACCAGTGTTGGGAAGATTACTTTGGAAATGTAATTTGTTACAATTACAAGTTACTCTATTTAAAATGTAATAGTAGTGTAACTATTTCAATTACTATATGAAAGTAATGTAACTAATTACATTTGATTACTTTTTGATTACTTTTCTAAATTATGAATGAATATTCTCAACTGTTAACCATTTTGAAATTTTGTAACCTGGCAGTGTTTACCTTACAGCAGTACTAAACACTGACTACTGTCAAACTCCTTTCAATACATGAATTAACATGATTATAATTGATCAATTTAATAAATATACCAAACATACCATATACAGTAGGCCTAATAATGATTTTAAACAATGGGTAAGAATAGATCCTCGCTTCATACTCAGTGAAAACCCAGATTCCCTTAGTGTAACAAGTCATAACATTAATGTTACATAAAATATACCTAAAATGACAAAAAAAAAAATTGTTAAAACTCAGCCTTCAGTTATTAAATTCTAATGTGTGTTCATAATATAAACTTTTTGGGAGTCAAAACAAGATAAACTACGAGTGATTTGACCACTCCGTGACGCTTCAGGATTACATTATGATGCAAACATTTTATATACTTGCGAAAATAAATGGTTCCATTTTACTTCTGATCTCTATATACTCTATATACTTCTGTATATGACTCTTTTTATTACCTGTGTCTTGTCTTGTCACTGTCATTCTGTTGCACTGTAGAGTTCTGTCACTATAACAAATTCCTCGTATGTGTTAACATACCAGGCAATAAAGCTTATTCTGATTCTGATTCTGAACAGTTCTTGCATCAGACAGGATATGAGATTTCAGCTGATTGTGTAATCACTTACTGTTTAAATCAATTTTTCAATCGCAAATCACGGAGTAGCCTAAAACAGTGTCTTCGCAGCACTGTAAGATAAAATGGGTTAGCATCGCCCAGGAGTTAGCTAGTTGGTGAATTTTCAAAACTCAATACGACAATAGCATGTCGGGAGTTCTAATATCAGACCTAACATAAATTACCAATAACCTTAGCATATTGAAGGAGGACGGCACATTTTCTGTCAACGGGATCAGAAGTGCCAGTGTGGCTTATAAAGCGCGGTACTCACTTCGCGATTCATTGTGGTGTTTACGCATGCTGTCAGTGTTTACATTTTGTTTTGTTGTCATACACGCCGTATCTTATGATTGAGTTGGTGTTGTCGCCGTACAGTCTGCATACCTGTCATAGCAAAGATTATCAGATCCGTATCGCACAGTGTGATCAGTAATGATTTTACCTACTGGCATACTTACCTGGCAGGGGACACACCATGATCACGAAGGTGGTTCACCCAGGGTGAGGCCCAGCCATTGCACTGCGGCTGTGCTGACTCCTGCAAATTCCCCAAATGTGGGAATCTCGACTGCATAATTTCTGGTAGTGGGGGACTGCGTTCGCGCTCTCCCTTGATGTTTTTACCAGCAGCGGGTGGCTCAGTGGGCTAAACTTGCGTGCTTGTAATCAGAGGGTCGCCGGTTCGAACCCAGCTTCGGTGGGTACTTGAGCTAGGCAGCCCGATGTGCGCAGCATGCTCTCCGTAAAAGCAAGCTGGGGAGACGTAAAGGTGTTTTCCACATGAGGGGAAAAAAAAATTAATAAAATTTTGGGCAGTGGTGGCTTGATGGTTAGGGTAGCGCACTTGTAATTGAAAGATTGCAGGTTCGAATCCCCCACCAGCAAGTCACCACTGAGGTACCCTGAGCAAGATACCGTCCCCAAGCACTGCTGAATTAGCTGCCCCCTGCTATGTCACGAAAGTCACATATGGGTCAAATGCAGAGGTCACATTTCGTTGTTGCGCACTGTGTGCTGTGGTGTGTTGACAATGACCACTGATCACTAAATTCTAATTCTAATTTTAATTCTTATAAGATTGCTGAAATCACAGTGTGTACCGGGCATTACATTTTAGATAGGCATGTCTTCCCTGCCTTGTTTAATATGACTGTGTGCAGTTACAGTAAGCTGCACTTACCTCTAGATGTTTCCTTAGGTTGGACATGGACTGTTTAGATGTCGAAAACATCTTTATAGCCGGTAAACACGCACTGCATTGCACAGTTAAATTTGTGCCTTTTCCCGTAATATATCGGAAATGTTTTTTTTTATATATATTTCCAGCAATGGAATGCATTCCTTTCCTTGTCTGCCATTGCCTGCAACAGAAACTCAGACCGCTCAGGCAAGTTAATTAGCAGAATTGGCTGCAAATGTAGACGCGACAGGATAACCAATCAGAAGCATCGAATAGTTTCAAACTTTAGGCTGTGGAGGGAAATAGCAAAGGAGGATGTTTTGCATAAGAAAAACACGAAAAGCAATGAAAATACTGGTATTAAAGATATTATCAAGGTTTTGCATACAATCTTATGATGTAACTAAAATTGTAATAATGAATATTTTCATAAGTAACTGTAATTTAATTACACTTTTCTTTCTCTAGTAACTGTAACGGATTACAATTACATTTTTTTGTAATTAAATTACGTAATGCTGTTACATACATGTAACTCGTTACTCCGCAACACTGCTAGTAACATAGTATTACAGACGCAATTTAATTACTTTTAACAAGTCATTATTATGTGTGATGCACTGTATGGACAAAAGTATTAGGACACACTTCCTAATCACTGAATTCAGGTGTTTCATTCAGACCCATTGTCACCTGTGTATAAAATCAACCACCTAGCCTTGCAGTCAGGTTTACAAACATTTGTGAAAGAATGTGTTTTTCTGAAGAGCTCAGTGAATTCAAGTGTGGCGCTGTCATAGGATGCGACCTTTGCAATAAGTCAGTTCATGAAATTTCTTCAATGCTAGATATTGGTCAGCTGTAAGTAGTATTATTACAAAGTCAAAGTGTTTCGGAACAACAGAAACTCAGTTACAAAATGTCAGACCACGTAAAGTAACAGAGCAGCTGAGGTGCATAGTGTGTAAAAGTTGCAAACACTTTGTTGTCTCAATAACTGCACGGTTCCAAACTTCTTCTGGAATTAACTGCAGCACAAAAACTGCGCCAGGAGCTGCATGGAATGGGCTTCCATGGCTGAGAAGCTGCATGAAAGCCTCACATCACCAAGTGCAGTGCCAGGCAAGCCTCACATCACCAAGTGCAGTGCCAGGCAAGCCTCACATCACCAAGTGCAGTGCCCAGCATTGAATGGAGTGGTGTAAAGCAAATTTCGTAGGAACAGTTTGGAGATGGCTTTTCTCTATTCCAGCATGACTGTGCCCCAGTTCACAGAGCAAGGTCCATAAAGACATGGTTAGGTGAGTTTGGTGATAGAGAGCCCTGACCACAACCCCATCAAACACCTTTAGGATGACCTGGAATGGAGATTACGAGCCAGGCCTTCACATCTACAGTACCATCAGTGCTTGACCTCACAAATGCTCTGTTTGCCAGGAAGGGTTTTGAGGATAACTTTAGAAATGTATTCTGGTACAGTTATTAAAAAATACCTGTTCAAATGTAAAGGGTAACCTAATCCAAGAATCACAGTATTTAAGCGACATAACCTGATTAACTTCTGTTACTGATTGTCTCAATGCCAAAAGTGCACAAAGACACAAGCAAAAAGAAATATCACTAAGACGACTTACTTCTGCAGGTACTCCGTAAGACAACAGAACAGCGTAAGATAACCTTAGCGAAGCAAATGGAAGCAAACATTAAACATCTCAGCATCTTTTTTAGTATATGGCATCGAGCCTAGCTAGCATGGACCATGGTGGTCAAGGGCATGGAAGAGTCATCTCTGGAGGACCTATTCTATTCCTGCGATGGACTCTGCTGCTTTACCTGCATGCAGTACAATTAAACTAAAGTTTCACTAAAATTTCTATGTCAATTGCAATTAGATTCCTTAAGCGCACAAATATCACCTGTATTTGTTCATATTCCATCCATCCATCCATCTTCTATAATGGCTAATGTCTCGGGCAGCACAAATCGCAATGCATGGGCCCATACTGGACCGGATGTCAGTTCGTCACAGGGCAGCACAAACACACACACACAATGGGCAATAAACATGAGTATCGCTACATGTTGACGACAGTGGGAGGAAATGCAGACAAACGCAGGGAGAATGTACAACCCTCAACCACGCACAAGGGGCGAGATTCAAACCACTAGTCACTGTGACATGCACCTTCTTCGAAATGAATTTTTAATACTACTTGCATTCAATATATTCATTTAATAACAGTGTAAACCCATTAAGCAACTGCTGGCAAATTATGGGCTTGTCTGGGCTCTGCTGCTAAGCTTGCGGCTGGTTTCACCTCACGGGGGAGGTGGGGGACATTAACAGAAAAGATATCTGAGCTGCTGGTGAACAGTTTGGAGAAGAAGAAGATTAGAGCTGTTGCAAGACTTGCATTACTGAGATGGTGTGGAGTCTCAGGCAACAGAAGTGGCTACACTGAGAGTTCCTTCAGCATCAGCACATCACCAGGTGTCCACTGGGAACCCAGCACATCTTCAGCTGATCGTCGCATTAGATTATGTGCATCTGCAGCACTCGCCCAGCATGCAAAGCTGCTCTAGCATGACGTGAAACCTGACACCTGGCACTGCAAGCAGTGTCACTGGCACAGTCACTGGCAGAGTCACTGGCACAGAGCCTTCAGCCAGCTGGTGCTCTGTAGCAGGGATCCCCGCTGTGTTTTACCCAACAGGTTTCCGACAAAGTGGAGGAGGGTCAGGTTTCAAAGCATCAATGGGAGGTCTGAGTGGGCGGGGCTGTTTGGGGGTAGTTATACCATCTAACTGGTGGCTCCGCCCACTCTACAATGCAGGGGACATAAAGGAGGAAGAGAACCAGCAGAGCGACACTTTCTGCTAGGAGACCACCGAAAGTCTCCCCAACAGCCCAACGATGACGTCCATAGCGGGCAAAGTGGCGCAGCAGCAGGCGCGAGCCGGCGGTGTCGGAACCAATGACACAGCCGTGAAGTTCGGCGACCAGGACTACAAGACTCTGAGGAGCCGCTGTCTGCAGCAGGGCAAGCTGTTCGAGGATGATCTCTTCCCGGCTGGGTCCTGGGCTCTGGGATACCAAGAGCTGGGGCCACTATCCCCTAAGACCCAGAATCTGGTGTGGAAGAGGCCAAAGGTAAGGAGAAGCGAGGCTCTCTCAGAACCTGTGATCAACTTCCTCACTTACACTTTGCTTTGGACAGTAGCTTTTGCTGTGACTGTATGAATAGTTGCATAATCTAATTTTCTGTTTTCTTAGTTTGTTCAGTGTTTCTTCAGCGTGCAGCAAACAAAGGGTCCAAGATATGTTTACATCCATATATCTTCTTAAAAATAATAGCCTTTGGGTATTGATGAGAAATCCACTTTTCTCTTCCCCAAACAAGGGTATGGTCGTCCATTATCTCCCTACCAGGGCATGTGAGCGGAGTGCAGCGGAGCGTAAGCGAGGAGCGGAATTTGGTCAGAGCGCGGAGCGGTTTTCTAATTAAGGCTGGAGCTGTCGTTCTGTCTCGCTCCAATTTCGCTCCGATGCCGCTCACACTACGATTCTGAGGCGTGCCCAAATCTACCCAGAATTCATCTGTACAATTATCACAGATTGGCCGAGATGGAATTCGCCAAGTATTTCACAAAGGAAAGTGATAAGTCATACAAGTGTACTATTCTTATCAAACGTATAGATGACAATAATGTTTAATTGCAAGAACAACAATGTGGTGAAACTGTTTCAGTGAGTAAAGATTCACTTTGGAATCACTTTTCTCAGAAACATGAGAGAGTGCTAAGCGAACAGGCGGAAGACAGAGCAAAACGTGAACAAGTTTTATATGGTTGTAGCATATCAAGTATATAAAGTATAAAGTTCAAGTTCAAATCTTTATTGTCACATCATGTTACTGGTACAGTACATATGAGTGAAATTCTTGTGTGCTAGCTTCACAAGCAGTAGTGGTGTGCAAAATCTATATATATATAAAAAAAAAGATAAGTACAAGATTTTGCACACCACTACTGCTTGTGAAGCTAGCACACAAGAAGATAAAAGCCTATAAAGTAAATATTGGTAATCAAATAAATTCGTTTTGTCATTCGAAGTAGTTCTAATATGATTTTTTTTAATTTCACGTAACGCTGTCAGTGAAATTTTATTTTATAGATAGACGCGCAGCAGCATCAGCAGAAAAAAGTTGAGGAATTTAAAACGCGGATGCTTAGCCTGTATATTCTTTAGGCTATTAAGCCCACTGATTCCTTTATTTTTAAGTCTATTTTTGCGTGGAATGCCATTGCTAAACCTGTCCGTTGTTGCCTATATGTTGCTTAAAAATAAATATTTTCTGAGTGGCAATGTTGCCGTTGCTCATATTTCTTTATGATATAAGGCTTCGGTTTAGGAATGCAGATCATTTGTTCCTCTTTTAAATTGGAGCGAGCGTGGAGCGGTTTGACTGGAGCGGGAGGAAATTTTAGTGGAGCGAGGAGCGGTGTTGAGCGGAGCGGCGGAGCCAACAGCCTCGTGAGCGAGGAGAAGAAATTCTCACCGCTTCAATCGCTCACATGCTCTTCTCCCTACCCTATCTATCTCAGGGATAAAGGCTCAGTGCTCCAACCATATGGGAAGCTGTTTTAGCTTTATTTCATTTCTAGAGGATATCACAAGTTCAATTCTAAATTAGAATGCAAATACTTGATATCAGAAATTGAGCTGTAACTAGTTAAAATGCCAGTTCTGTATCAGAAATTCTCTTTTAGCTAGTGAGATTCAAAACATTTTTCCCATTCATTTCACAGGGAGTTGGAATCTGATATCAGGAATTCAGTTGGTAGATATAATTGATATCAAATTACAACTAGTTACAATTGAATATATATTTCTGATATCAGGAATTCAGTTGTTGGTAGATATAATTAAAATCGAATTACAACTAGTTACAATTTAATGTGTATTTCTGATATAAGATATACACATTATAAAAAGTTAGAATTGAAGTTTTGATATTTATAAATGAATTAAAGCTAAAATGGCTTGTGATGCAGCCCCAGTCACAAACATCCCAGCCGGATGGGATTCACGGAGCCTTAACACATTCCCTGTTTCTCTGTTTGCTGAATATGTCAGATCCCATCAGCTGGCGCTGTCTTGTCTTAGGGCTACAAAATAATTCACTTTGATTTCTGTGTAACATACTCAACATCAAAGTAAGTACTTAACCGTTTGCAGATGTTCTGTGGCTCAGCTATAAACTATGAGTACACTGTAAACTAAAAAGCAATATACACAACACACGCACACACACACACACATATATATATATTTCTATATATATTATATATATAAAATTGCTGGGCTGTAGATGGAGATGTGTGCTCTCCATTCCTCACAGACCAATTTAACACACATGGACTGAGCACCTACTGTATACTTATGGCACATGCTTTTCCCCATCAGCAAATGGACCGTGCAGCACTTTCAGCAATTCTGTGCGGACGGCAAATCTAATACCTGATACTGTTGGCAAAACAGGACCGGCCAGGCCAACCTGGTCACTGTCATGTGACCGTATCATCAGCCAGTGTGAAACCAAAACAGTGTGACGTACAGTCATTACTTTTTACGGAGCAGTGTTTGTGCCCTGGGATCCTTTCACAAAGCTCTCTCTGCTGGCCGAAACTCGATCCAAAATGGCCAAAATAAATCCTGAATGTAAAGAACCTGCACCTTTGTCTGGCAGGCATCACATATACGTCTATGAATGACTTACAAAGCTAACGAGTAATACATTTCAGAACGGAAGTTTCCAGGATCCTCTTAGTTATTGTTAACCCTTCCAGGGAAGATGATAAATCGCTCCTGGGTTTTATCAGTCCTCGCTGCTCCACCATAATCTTCCACTCCCATTGCGACTATTTACTCTCCTCTGTGGATTTGGGAACACGTCTGGTCCATAGATGTGATGAGTGGCTTCAGAATTCTGGGGCTCTCGCTATACAGGGCCCAACGCCTTATTCTGTCAAAGAAAATTCACCACCGTGTGCCAGCATCTCTGATTCTTGCCCTCCTGGTGTTTGATCTTTACAGGAGTTGTGCCCGAATCCACACTTCATCATCGATGGAGCAACAAGAACAGACATCTGTCAGGGAATCCTGGGTGAGTTCTCAGGATTGTCAAAGCATGGCATCAAGGATGGGGTGAGAAGATCAGAATGTCCAGCAGCCTGAGTGTTTCAGCAGAAAATCAACATCACAGTCTCTGTTCAGTTCCTTTTAACTGAAATACATATCTGCATCTGCTGTGATGTTTCCATACAGGTTTGGCTGATCTAAAGCACACTGAAGGACCAGTATGTTGAGTCACTGAGAGAAATTAACCTCTCATTAACATTAATGTACTTTGCTCCACTGGATGTTAAACAACCTTCTTCCTGGTTACTATTAACGATTTATCCTTCTTT